CCCTGGAAATCTACCCCCAGACATCTACCCCCGGAAATCTACCCCCAGTGGTCAAATCATAAATGTCCGACCCCGGAATTATTTATTTCCGACCCCCCGAAATATACCCCCTGTGCTCCACTACGTATCGGCCAATATTCATTGTTGTAGTTGATTTTAGTAATTGGTTTATAAAATAATCAATGGCTCTTCGTTTAATAATTAGCCTCTAATATCTAGTATTAGGCATGTGATATGTCGTTGTCTTGTCTAGTGTCATCTATCTCCCCAATTCATTAAGCTGTAACTGATTTAGGTGTCATTTTTAAGCTTAAGATTCAGTGCAACGCAAATGGTAATTAAAAAGGATATTTTGATAAAGGGCTCCAAAAGTTTAACCCATAAGCATTTGATTTATTTTCAGACAGTGATTTAAATGGTTAACCAATTTTCACATACACTCATAGCTAACGGCACATGTACGAGCGCAGATCGTGAAATTTAAAACATATCACTGAAGGAGGTTATTTTCTGATTACTAGTGGTAAAAATGCAATTAAATGTTGATAAAAAGCCTGCCACAGGTTGATTAATGAATTAATAATTTTTTCACTATCAATTACCTCCTAGTAATACGAAATAGCATAATCCCTATGTCGTAGACACTATCCGGGGTTTTACATTGGCTAAAAAGTCTAGTTATTTACACAAATAATTAACCGTAAAAAATAAAACATAAACATATTTTATGATTGGTTCTGGTTGTCAATGCTGGTTGTGAAATAACGGAGAATAATGTAAAAGAATAAAATTGGGTACTTCGAGATAGGGAAGATATTTTTACCTCATGGTTCTTTTGGTTTTACGAATTTATTTGAATGAAATTAGAGTTTAGTATGAACATTGCTTAAAATTATAAAATTTTTTGGTCATTTTTACGTTTCATGCATCAAAGAAGCCAAAACAAGTCTTTATCTCAATTCCTGTCTTGTCTGTCAAGGCCCAGAAGGCATTTTACGTGGCCTTCTTCTCGAAAACATCGATCGTGATTCGATTTAAATAGTCTTTTTGGATTCGGTTGATTGACACGAGTAACTTAAGCCATTAAAATATGGCCTCACTACTTTTTAATTAAAATAAATTTTGTTCAAATCCCCAATTCTTTTGCATTTTTGTCAATAGTTTAGGCTACTCCTAATGTTTACCAGTAATTTATGAAATACTAATAATTTGTTTGGAGAATACGACATCAATGAAATAACGGACAGCTGTGAAAGATAAAAAGCTGGATAAAGATGACTTTTTCTAGCTGTCACTGGAAATGTGTTATTACATTTTGTTTACAAATACTGCAACCATTTCCGATCACGTTTTGTAATAAAATCCAAAACCAAGTAAGATTAAAAACGTTTTGACTCACGTAAATAAACGGATCAAATAAATCGTAAGTGCAATAATATGTAACTAGTGTACATGTTGCTCGAATTCGAGCAATTGCAAAGTATTAAAGGAGTTATTTCAAAATGAATAACAATGAATATTTACAATGAGTTTAAATGAGTCAACTCAAAGATTACCGGTGTGTAACTAAAACCATGTTTATCTTCGTTATTGATAAACATAAAGCATTCATCCGGCCGGTTTTCTCCTTCTCAAATTGCCTCGCTGTACAGGCAACACAGGTAGAGGGTAAACATGATAGAGGGCCAATTGAGAACGAAAAGTCGTTTTGTGGTAGTTTTCCATCTCTTGTTTACAGTTGCAGACGATCTATTCTGGTTTTCAACCTGACTTAAAAATTGAACTGATTAGTAATCTGCTCACATTTCACCTTTAAAACTGTTACTGTATAGTGTGAAAGTTGGTCAACCATTGGAAGCACCTTCTAGGAATAAATCAAAGCTCAGGGGTCAACCTTTTGAAGCCCTAATCAAAATATCCTTTTTAATTACCATTTTGCTCTGCGCAAGATCTTAAGCTTTAAAATGACACCTCAATCGTAACAATCGGCGAAGTAGGTCGGGTGAAAAAGGACTGTTACAGCTTATTGAATTAGGAAGATAGATAATGTAAAACAAGACAATGACATATCGCATGATGTATACTGGATATTACAAGACAATGCTTAACCGAAGAGCCGTTGATTTCCGGGGGTAGATGTCTGGGGGTAAATGTCCGGGGGTAGATTTCCGGGGGTAGATATCCGGAGGTAGATGTCCGGGGGTAGATATCCGGGGGTAGATGTCCGGGGGTAGATATCCGGGGGTAAATGTCTGGGGGTGAATATACGGGGGTAGATTTCCGTGCTATGGAAAATCACTTTATAATCAAACAATTACATGTTGATTATTTAATAATATATTGGGGGTAAATTTCCAGTCGCGGGCTGTTTCTCGACCGTGTATAGGCCCCGCCCCTCGTGACGTCAAAATGACGTAGGCGTTTTTTCATGGGGGTAAATATCCGGGGGTGGAAATCCGCTACCCCTTACCTTTTATATATAAATAGTGAACCACTGTTCATTGGATTTTCCTGCAACCCTTGACCAATAAAATGATGTTTCATATTTTAAAATCTATTGTGGTAGAGCATGAAATATTTTCATAGCGAATGTAAAATGCCACGAAGTTAACACCTGAACTAGAGTAATACCGTAAACTAAATACAAAATCATTCTTTTTGGATGCACTTTGAGCTGCTAAGCTACCTGCGATTTTCACATACATTGCGATGCTCATACACAGCCAAATACTAGGAAAAACATTAGGTAGTGGTAGGTAGGGAGCCTAGCCACACGACCGCACAACATAAGATCTAAATGTATACTGGGGTCGGCTATGTTACCTGCGATATTCACTGTACAGTATGAGCATAGGTGAGGTAGTGGTAGGTAGGGAGCCCAGCCACACGACCGCACAACATAAGATCTAAATGTATATTGGGGTCGGCTATGTTACCTGCGATATTCACTGTACAGTATGAGCATAGGTGAGGTAGTGGTAGGTAGGGACCCTAGCCACACGACCGCACAACATATAAGATCTAAATGTATACTGGGGTCGGCTATGTTACCTGCGATATTCACTGTACAGTATAAGCATAGGTGAGGTAGTGGTAGGTAGGGAGCCCAGCCACACGACCGCACAACATATAAGATCTAAATGTATACTGGGGTCGGCTATGTTACCTGCGATATTCACTGTACAGTATAAGCATAGGTGAGGTAGTGGTAGGTAGGGAGCCCAGCCACACGACCGCACAACATAAGATCTAAATGTATATTGGGGTCGGCTATGTTACCTGCGATATTCACTGTACAGTATGAGCATAGGTGAGGTAGTGGTAGGTAGGGAGCCTAGCCACACGACCGCATAACATATAAGATCTAAATGTATACTGGGGTCGGCTATGTTACCTGCGATATTCACTGTACAGTATGAGCATAGGTGAGGTAGTGGTAGGTAGGGACCCTAGCCACACGACCGCACAACATATAAGATCTAAATGTATACTGGGGTCGGCTATGTTACCTGCGATATTCACTGTACAGTATAAGCATAGGTGAGGTAGTGGTAGGTAGGGAGCCCAGCCACACGACCGCACAACATATAAGATCTAAATGTATACTGGGGTCGGCTATGTTACCTGCGATATTCACTGTACAGTATAAGCATAGGTGAGGTAGTGGTAGGTAGGGACCCTAGCCACACGACCGCACAACATATAAGATCTAAATGTATACTGGGGTCGGCTATGTTACCTGCGATATTCACTGTACAGTATAAGCATAGGTGAGGTAGTGGTAGGTAGGGAGCCCAGCCACACGAATGCACAACATATAAGATCTAAATGTATACTGGGGTCGGCTATGTTACCTGCGATATTCACTGTACAGTATGAGCATAGGTGAGGTAGTGGTAGGTAGGGAGCCCAGCCACACGACCGCACAACATATAAGATCTAAATGTATACTGGGGTCGGCTATGTTACCTGCGATATTCACTGTTCAGTATGAGCATAGGTGAGGTAGTGGTAGGTAGGGACCCTAGCCACACGACCGCACAACATATAAGATCTAAATGTATACTGGGGTCGGCTATGTTACCTGCGATATTCACTGTACAGTATAAGCATAGGTGAGGTAGTGGTAGGTAGGGAGCCTAGCCACACGACCGCACAACATATAAGATCTAAATGTATACTGGGGTCGGCTATGTTACCTGCGATATTCACTGTACAGTATAAGCATAGGTGAGGTAGTGGTAGGTAGGGAGCCCAGCCACACGAATGCACAACATATAAGATCTAAATGTATACTGGGGTCGGCTATGTTACCTGCGATATTCACTGTACAGTATAAGCATAGGTGAGGTAGTGGTAGGTAGGTAGCCCAGCCACACGAATGCACAACATATAAGATCTAAATGTATACTGGGGTCGCCTATGTTACCTGCGATATTCACTGTACAGTATGAGCATAGGTGAGGTAGTGGTAGGTAGGGACCCTAGCCACACGACCGCACAACATATAAGATCTAAATGTATACTGGGGTCGGCTATGTTACCTGCGATATTCACTGTACAGTATAAGCATAGGTGAGGTAGTGGTAGGTAGGGAGCCCAGCCACACGAATGCACAACATATAAGATCTAAATGTATACTGGGGTCGGCTATGTTACCTGCGATATTCACTGTTCAGTATGAGCATAGGTGAGGTAGTGGTAGGTAGGGACCCTAGCCACACGACCGCACAACATATAAGATCTAAATGTATACTGGGGTCGGCTATGTTACCTGCGATATTCACTGTACAGTATAAGCATAGGTGAGGTAGTGGTAGGTAGGGACCCTAGCCACACGACCGCACAACATATAAGATCTAAATGTATACTGGGGTCGGCTATGTTACCTGCGATATTCACTGTACAGTATAAGCATAGGTGAGGTAGTGGTAGGTAGGGAGCCCAGCCACACGAATGCACAACATATAAGATCTAAATGTATACTGGGGTCGGCTATGTTACCTGCGATATTCACTGTACAGTATAAGCATAGGTGAGGTGGTGGTAGGTAGGGAGCCTAGCCACACGAATGCGCAATAGAGAAGGTCTAGATGTCCGCTGTAGTCTGCAGTTTCTACCAACTTAGTTTTAATGATCCTGGAAAATATAAACAAAATTATTTAACTCTTCCTGCAAAACTTAATTTTAATTTCAAAGGTCTGTGCGTCGTCTAATGCGGTAGCCTACATTTTAAACTCTATAGGGTATGTGTTTTGATTTTTAAATGAGTAAAGAAATTTAAATAGTACAGAAATTTAAAGAGTCTAAATAAAACAAGTTAAATCAAAATGACTAATATAAAAGTTAGTTAAGCTCCTATTACAACCTTACCTCCTTACTATCATTTAGCCTATATTTTAACCTGTATATCATCTACATTTTCAGTTTTGCAACGTCTAATGAATTATTATAAAGTAAATTTCTCTTCATTCATAATTTAACTAACAAACCTTTTCATACGGACGAACAATCTGATATTAAAACCTAATTTCTAAAATGAACCTCAACGACAAAGTCATGATTGACAAGAGTTATCCTGTAAAGCAGTATGTACTGAGGAACGCTTGCCAAAAAAGGCATTTTTATTTATTTATTTATTTATGATATTAAACGTCTGTTGATCGGCATTGTTCTGACAGGTGACAAAGTCACTGGGATCGCGGAACGTCGCGACAATAACAGGTGGGACCGCAGCCTGCGCTCACGTGGTGGGCGACTCTATACTCTGGGTGTCCATGGTATTCATGGGGTTTTATTTTATGCTGTACTGTACTTTATAATTTGCTATCATACGGCATACAGCAGATGGCTTGTTATAAAAAAGTGCTACGACCATTTTGTTGAATTTTTCATTGTTATGACGCAAAATACTAATGGTGATCAATCAACCCATAAGGCCCATGTTAAGTTTAAAAGTATAAATTTCTAAAGTCCGATGTGTACGGTATTTCAGACCGTATCAGATGTATACCTTTCCATGGTTGGTTACTATTATTGTACTAAATCTGGCGTTGATCGTTGAAGCCATTCAGGAGGAAACGTTTAAAATCAAAAGCCGGGGTGGAGTAAGTGAGCTTCACTCAATAATAAATGCATTATTTTATATAAAATTTTTCTATAACCAAAATCCAATGAATTCCAGAGTGGCGATGATTAAGCTGTCACTAACTAAGGCTTTTTGGCCAGGATAATTCATCCATCCAATAACCTGTTAGCAATTATTACTAAGTAAGTTCTAGAACTGTTTAGTGGCTGTATGAAGTTAGTAGTTTACACAACGATTAAGTAAAGATAGTGTTAACGACACGAGTAGAAATTTAAGGTACGAGCCTTACGCGAATTGCGTACACTACTTCACCTATGACAGCGTTTTAACTACAAAAATTACTTCTCATTAAGTTCTAAGAGAGGTTATGTTTTCGTTTATAACCTCTCATTACCACTGACAGTAATGCAACGAAACATTGTACCAAACACTAATTGCACCACTCAACAGTTAAATTGGTCTGAACAGCTGATTAGTTGAAGTTTAAATCAATACCATTTCACTTTTTTCTCTCAATCCTTGAACCTCATTGGCCCGTTACCTGTGTTGTTATGAGTAAAACTATGCTGTCTTGAAAGTAAAGAATGCTGTTATGAGAAACTTTTTAATTCTGAGAGCTGTACTAAAACAGCTACTTTAAAAAACGGTCGTAGGTAAATAGTTTATACATCGAATGAGATCTTGTAACAAAACTGACGAGCTTTTGCTTGGACCTGTATAGCCTGTGGAAATTGCAAACTCCAACTAAATTCCAACGTAATAAAAAACTGTTTGTAACAATTTTCACTTTTTGTTTTTAAAATATTCTGCTCACTTTAAGATCATCAGAGGACACAGGCAGGCGTTGCACACTATCAACATAGCGCCTAAATACTTGACTCGCATCTCACACTGTTGGGTCACACTGTGCTGCGACTCGTAGTTCGATCTTTCGGCGAAACTCCTGAAACGATCACAATGCTGATAAGCGATATTATCCAAACAAATCTTAAGGTAATCATTGACTTTGAATTCAGGATAGACCCTGAATGTGCATGAATAGATCATACATCTTTATGAAGCATACAATTTTCTAATCATATAGGACATTAGCTAAAGAGTTCTACTGTCAAAATTACATTTTAATTCTATTTGGTTTTTTTATTCTACTGATTGTTGGTACTATGTAAGCGATTATTTAGTTTGGCTTGGTTGATAAAGTGGTGTAATTGACATAAACCAGTAAATGTCAGCACGTTCTGTCGCAGGCTGAATTTAATTTCGTTCATTTTAACACATTTTTATCAGCTTACTTTCTTGGCTGACGAATTTTGCAATCGATTTCAAACTAACTTTTCGATGAGCTAGAGACTCGAAACTTGAATCATAACTCACAAATAGATGGTAGTTCAATATTAAATTCTTTTTTAATTTCCAAGATATAAATATTTATTCTCATACTCATACAATTTATCCACAATAGTATATTTCGAACCAAGGGCCGAAAATGAGGTTTTGCCGGCTCGAGATAGTTTTTAAGTTCGAGACGAAGTCGAGAACTTAAATCGATCGAGAGCTGCAAAACCATTTCGGTCCGTGGTACGAACGCTATTTTTCACCACACTATACCCTATTACCACTATTCACCACTATAATAATGCACACTGATAGTCAACACAACTACAACTTTAAGGTTATGTGAAGAAATAATTTGAGGAATCAGCAAAAATTAAAATAAATAGTTGCTAGGCAACGGTGACAATAACACAATTCTATTGCAATGCTATGGATTTTAATTGTGTATTTAAAATGCATTCATGTTTTAAGTAAGTAAGCGGACAGCTGATTTTGCGGCCCCGGCCTGTAAAAACCTGCTCGGTCCCCAAATTACGATGACAGCTGGCATGGCCAGCAAAACGTAACTTTCAGCCACCAATTAACGTATGTAATACAGCCAAAAACATCATAGTGTGGTGAAAAAGCCTTTTTCATTACTCTACACACGAAAGTACACTTTCTAAACGTAAAATGAGATAAGAAAATAGGTAATTCCCGCTACTGCACGGAAAAGTTACATAACGTTAACTTTCCGTGCGTATGTACTGCACGGAAAGTAACCGCTATGGGATTTTGCGGTGCAGTCAGATCAGCTGATTGTATTGTTGTTGAAAACACATTCCTCGCTTATATATTGACATTGTCAGTTAGGTTATGTTTGTTGAGATAGATTCTTTGAACTATGTGTACTAATATGGATAATATTCCTGAAACTTTGATGAACAGAGCGGTAAGTGTAACAAACGAATTATTGCCTGATGTGTCGCGTTTAAGATACGAAAATGAATACGATAAGCTTTGTACTTGGTGTCAAAAAGAAAACATTAAACCTAGCCAGGTTAATGATGACATACTTCTAGTCTATATGTCAGAACTGTCGAAAACTATGAAACCTAGCACCTTGTGGAGCAAGTATTCAATGGTTAAAAATGTCTTAAAAGTAAAAGAAAATCTTGGAAATTTAAAATTTCCAAAAACAGTTGCATTTTTAAAGAAAAAGTCTGTTGGTTTCAAACCTAAAAAAGCGAATGTTTTTACATCTGATCAAATTTCTCAGTTCATGATCAACGCTCCCGACAAAGAATGGTTGTTAAGTAAAGTAATTTTGACGTTTGGCATTTTTGGAGCCCTTAGGCGAGATGATCTATTATGCCTTAGCATAAATGACGTAAAAGATTATGGCAGTTTCATTAAGGTTACATTGAGAGATGGTAAAACACATGCTAGCAGAAGTTTCATCATTACAGACGATGAATGTACGTATCAACCCTGCCAGCTAGTACGTAAATATTTGTCTTTACGCCCATCAAAAATGACGAGCCCTAGACTTTTTGTTGGCTTCAGGCAAGGCAAGTGCGTAGCACAACATGTCGGGAGTCATACGATTTCGGATGTTCCCAAAAAGGTCGCCCAGTACCTTAAGCTAGAACAGCCTGAATCCTACACAGGTCATGCTATTCGACGCACATCCGCGTCAATGCTGGTGGAAGGGGGAGCGGATTTACTCACACTCAAGAGGCACGGAGGCTGGAAAAGTGCAACCGTTGCTGAAGGTTACATTGAGGAGTCCATAAATAGAAAAATTGATGTGTCTAAAAAACTTTTTTCAAAACCAAGTACTTCAATCTCAAATCAAAACAATTCCTCTTTGAATTTACTTCCAATCAGATACATTACTAATTCAATTTCAAATTACAACAATTCCTCTTTGGATTCACTGCCACTCAATAACATTTCTAACAATGATGAAGAGGTGAATCTGGTTTCAAAACAATATTTTTCACCACACTATGATGTTTTTGGCTGTATTACATACGTTAATTGGTGGCTGAAAGTTACGTTTTGCTGGCCATGCCAGCTGTCGCTAATTTGGGGACCGAGCAGGTTTTTACAGGCCGGGGCCGCAAAATCAGCTGTCCGCTTACTTAATTAAATCATGAATGCGTTAAATACACAATCAAAATCCATAGCATTGCAATATAGAATTGTGTTATTGTCACCGTTGCCTAGCAACTATTTATTTATATTTTTGCTGATTCCTCAAATTATTTCTTCACATAACCTTAAAGTTGTAGTTGTGTTGACGATCAGTGTGCATTATTATAGTGGTGAATAGTGGTAATAGGGTATAGTGTGGTGAAAAATAGCGTTCGTACCACGGACCGAAATGGTTTTGCAGCTCTCGATCGATTTAAGTTCTCGACTTCGTCTCGAACTTAAAAACTATCTCGAGCCGGCAAAACCTCATTTTCGGCCCTAGGTACGAAATATACTATTACAATCGACGATGTAATTTCATCAGAAGAAGATACTGTGCAAAATCGCAATTTCATTCAAGAAAATAATAAAGTTGATGGAACACACTCGGAAGTCAATGTTGCAGAAATGAGAAAAAACCTAAAGCTACCACAAAAAATGTTAAACATAAGTGAAAATCAAAACTGCGACTTTAACATACATTTTCATTTTCATTAATAAAGATTTATCAGCGTGTTGATCCTATGTAATCATCAAAGGTCTCTTTCTTTATTTGTTTATTCATCAGCTTGTTCTGTAGTTAATTTAATAAAGATACTTTTTTTTACCCAAAATAGTCTGTTTTTCCTCAAACTATTGGCCATGCAATTATTAATAAGTGCACGGAAAAAACTCATAACGTTAAGTTTCCGTGCTTATGTCGAGGTACATACACACGGAAAGTTAGCGTTATGAGTTTTTTCCGTGCACTTATTAATAATTCAGAGTTGAGTTTTTTTCATTAGTTCGGTTTTTTCTCTTAATACTAAGTTAAATAAACGAAAATTTTCATGTTTTTATAAGTTTTCGGTATCGTAATGAAAAATAATGTTCAATACTCGCCTCGAAAGTGTCATTGCGGGGCACGATGGCGTTTCCAGCGCTCGGCTTCGCCTCGCGCGAAAATGCCATCTCTCCCCGCAATGAGTCACTTTCCAGTCTAGTAATGAAAACTACTATTACGGCTTGTCTTACAGCAATTATTAAAATTGTTGTTATTTCACAGTGTTTTTTTTACAATTAGTCTTTTGTTTTCCTTTTTTCTGTAAATAAACTATACCATGAAACAGAATACAATAATGTACCAAAATAAATAACAAACTAACCATTGCATTTAAAGTAGCCAGATTTTAACGATTATTGATAAACAATGAAAAAAATAACAGTAATAAGCGGATTGTAATAATCCCCACTGAAACTATGAACTATTTTATTGATAATAAAATTTGATTTGCTTTTAAGTACTTAAATACTTGTGTTTGATTTAAAACCCAAAATAAACTGTTATAAACTATAGGCTATGAATACAACAGTATTCATTGCTGTAGGTATAAATGTTGTACAAGAGAATTTGGTCATAAAATCTAATAACAAAAATAATATTAATACACTATGGAACTATTGATCACGTTTCTTAGATAACTAACTTACCAACATATTATTATGTTTCTGTCTGTTTTCAATGATTGTTGGTTTCATTAATTTTCTGCCTAATTTTAAATAAACTTTACTAATTATTTAGTTTTTATTCGAAGTGCTTTTGACAATTAAAAAAAGCTTAAACCCATCTTTTTTTGTTTTTAAAACTGCAAAATTTTCCGGGGGAGGACCCCGGACACCCCCCCCCCCCAGCCGTTTGCTCCACCCCCCCCCCCACCAAGGATTTGGTGAAATGACGCCACTGAACATTATCTTTCAAACTCTACAGTAACATGTTCCTCAACTGTACCGGTAAACTATTTAACAAGAATGAAGCTAAATATTCCCAGGTATTTGAGTATATTTATTTTTAGTTCTAGGCACAATAAAGAACATTTGCTTTGAGTTGTAACTATATACATTAAGGTTTTTGAACTTATCTGAAAAATAATAATTATGTTCTAATTAAATATTTGAACAGACTATAAACTGGTAAAACGTTGACTAATTGATAGCCTAGCATGGGATTTTCAACCAGATCAGCACAATCACTCTTAGTGTTATAGTTTTGATAATCCTGCTTTGCACGGTTTTCAGTTGCACGCACTACTGTAGATAATAATAAAGGGGGTGTAGCTGTCGATAGGAAACAAACATAATTCACACAGTGCATCCAGTTTGTATGATTTACCTCTATATTTCCTAATTGAGGTTAAAATACCCCCGCCACAGCAAACCTACCGACTAAGCGAGTTCCCATTTATCCGAAGTTATATTCTATTAAATCTATTTAAATAACATTCGGTTTAACGAGTACGGAGGTTTGCTGCTACAAAGAAACTAATAAAGTGACTTTTTTGTAAAATATTAATAGCTTAGTATAAAATAAAATAAAATTGCCAATTTAATCAAAATATATCAATAATTAACAAGCAAACTACAACATTTTACAATATTCTCCATGAGAATAAC